CCGAGGGGGCGCCTGGAGCTGGCATAATATTCGTCTTCTTGGGGCGGTGCCCTCCATCCTTCTTGTCATTGTGGATCTCGTCGGCGTCAGCGTATATATTCCCTCGCTGAAGCGCCTTCGTGTAGGACCTTGGTGGGTCAGTGATGAGACTCCTCGCATATGGGGTGCTGCGGAGGGCGCCCTGAAACAGGACCAGGAGGGTGCGCTCATCGGCCCCCTCAACCTCATCGGTCTGCCTCATCCATCGGTCGATGAATGACTGGAGTGACTCGTCAGACTGCTGCTTGACGGAGAGAAGATGGGTGAAATACTTCTTCGCGCACTTCCTCCCGAAAAAGTGAGTGAGGAAGCGCTGGGAAAGATCCTGCCATGAGTCTATGCTTCCTTCGGGGAGCGTGTTGAACCACTCGTATGCTGGAACTTCAAGAGTAGAAAGGAACCAATGGCAGAGGTATTCATCTGACGCGTTCACCATCAGCATGTTGTTCTTGTAGCGGATGAAGTGCTCCTGAGGGTCGGAGCGGCCGTCATAGGGCTTATGGCGTTTCCCCTGTACTTCTTGGGAATAGGGGCCGAGAGTACCCTGTCAGTGAAGGGAGTCCTCGTCCTGACCTGGACGATGGGGTCTCCTCGTCCTTCGGCCAACTCCCTCTCAAGGATGGTGACCTTGTGCAGAAGGGCATTGAAGCTAGGATCCCTGGATGAGTTGCCTGTGGGGGTGGCGGTTAGCTGCTTGGCCTCCATCTGAGCGAGCCTTCGCTCGAGCTCGGCGAGCACCTCGTCCCTAGGTCCTTGGTGGCCATGGTGCCGCCTTGCGTCTGCAAGCGGGCTGCGTGAGCTGTGTTGATTTGATGGCGCACGTCGTCGGCGTGCAGCTTGCCTTTGTCTTTGTCCTGGTGGGGCTGATCCGCTGTCTGGGATACAGACCCCAAGCTTTCCCTCGGTGAGCCAGGCTCATGGTGACTAATTCGTCCTGCCATCCTCTCCGAAGCAGGCCGACGGCACGTGTCACCTAGCCTGTTAAAGGCCGAGGCTTTTCCATGCGCTGGGGTCAGTCCGGCTCGAAGCGGGGAAGCAGGGTGGGAATGGGATGACGTCGTGTCTTGGGGCATCACCCCTTCGTCGTTGCCTAGCCTGACGGCCATCGGCTGGGGTTGAGGAGGCGGGGTCGTGTTCTCCCCCGTCCTTAGCATGAGTGCACTAAGAACGGTGGGGTTCTGGGCTAAGCTGGCGATGATGGCCGAGAGTGCGGCCTGGAGCTGAGGGTCAACGGCAGGAGAAGCCGATTGCCCCGAGGCATTGTCGCCTTTCTCTGTGCGCTTCTTGTCCAAGCCGATGCGGGCATCTGGGGCACCGCCGTTGAGTTTGTTGCACAGGTCAGTCGTGAGGTCGATGGCTTCCTAGAAGACATCCTTGTCGGCGGCCTTGTCGGCCGTAGCGTCCTCCCCGTGTTCCCGGTTCTCTTGGGCCTCAGGGATGGCCTTGCCAAGGAGGTTGTGGTTAGACTTAGTTCTTCCCATGATCAGTTAGTTGTGCTTGGTAGCGACGAAGGGGGCTAACTTGATTGTTCTAGCTCTCAATGAAAGCACCAAATGATAGAGTATATATTCTAGAGAGAAGAGAGAGCTAGAGAGAGAAGTGCAGTAACTCTTTGCAATAAATGATTTGTGAACCCCCTACAACTACCCCCAAGGGGAGTATTTATAAAGGAAATTAGGGCTCGGCTCCCAAGTCTTGGGCTTGGGAGGCCCATTTACAATTGGACCACTATTGGGCTGAGTACAAGATATGTAGAAATAACTAAGTGCGAAATCCTGTTCAGGGATCCTTTTGTGGCTGACGGAGCCATGGCCGACGACGCGGCCATGGCCGACGACGCGGCCATGGCCGACAGAGCCCTGGCCGACGATGGCATCCGGATCTCGTGGCTTCCGGACCGTATTCCGAGTTGATATCTTCTTGGCCGATGGGGGCCATCTGGCCGACGGAGGTCCCACTAGGTGACAGTTGTGCCTCTCATTCTTCTGAGTATGTGGGTCCTGGGGTCTAGCCTCATATACTCCATCAATAGTATTACCTCCGTCCCAGTGGACTTTGTCAAGTTCGAAGTATGTGAGAAATAAAAAAAGTGAAAGTTGTGTAATTGAAGGTTTTCAGAGGCAAGAGAAATAAACAGAACCACAAATTAGTTGATTTAATAGGAAAGTGACAATTTTTTTAGGGCAACCGTAAAGAAAAAATTTGCAAAGTCAATGGGACGGAAGGAGTACTACACAACTACGTGATGTATTACGGAGTATAAAATAAAGTAGAAAACTATTTCACCTTGTCATTTCAAAACAGAGTCTAATAAAATATTGTATTACATATACATTTTAATGTTATTTTAGTATGACCTGACATATTCAATTTAACTCTAAGAAAAAAATCTTCTGTACACATTTCACTTTTGTACACACTTGTACGCACACCTTTGAAAGCTTTTTTGTATGTCACATATTTGTTTTGAAAGACAAAGCATCTTTGTTTTGTGTGTGACAAACAAAAAAAACCTCTAAGAACGTGTGTACAAGTGTGTAGAACAAGAAATGTAGGCTAAAGAATTTTATAGTAATACCAAATAAAAAATAAGGAGATTTAAAGGCGTAGGACAACCCGAAGCGGCACAACTAAGGCTCAAATCTTTAAAGTCTAGGTAAGTATAGGGTAGATTTAGACGAAACAAATACTTTAGGGTGCGTTCGGTATCGTTTCTGTTTTTCGGTTTCTGTTTTTTTTCTTAGAAAAAAAACAGAAACATGTTTGGTAAAAAGTTGTTTTTGTTTTCAAAATCATAATCTTTGTAAGTGTTTTTAGAAAACGAAAACATATTTCTGAAATCAACAAAACATAGTTTCTATAAATTTGTTATCATTTATCTTCAATATCCAACTACCGGGACACAACCGGCCACCACCGGACCACCACCGGCCACCACCGGACCACCACCGGACACCACCAGCCACCACCGGACCACCACCGACCACCAACGGCCACCAACGGACCACCACCTGACCACCACTGGCCACCACCGGACCACCACCAGCCACCACTGGACCACCACCGGACCACCACCGGACCACCACCGGACCACCACCGGCCACCACCGTACACCACCAGCCACCACCGGACCACCACCGACCACCAACGGCCACCAACGGACCACCACCGGACCACCACCTGACCACCACCGGCCACCACCGGACCACCACCAGCCACCACTGGACCACCACCGGACCACCACCGGGCCACCACCGGGCCACCACCGGCCACCACCGGACCACCATCGGCCACCATCGGACCACCATCGGACCACCACCGGACCACCACTGGCCACAACCGGACCACCATCGAACCACCACCGAACCACCATCGGACCACCACCGGACCACTACCGGCCACCACCGGACCACCAGTCCACCACCGAACCACCAGACTATCATGGACTACGAAAATAATTACTCCGTATTTATTTCTTGGAATGACAAAATTGAAAATGAATTAGCACTAAAACAAAACGATTTCAAAAAACTGAGAATAGACAACTAAAAAACAGTTTTTTGTTTTTTAAAAACCAAAAATAGAAAACTCAAAACCATAACGAACGAGCCCTTAGTTTTTTGCTCACTGATTTAATGTCCATGTTTGTACACAATAAGTGTGTAATATCAGAAATTATAATGAAAAAATATTATGTGTTCCCATTTTCCAAATCCTTCTGTCTCAAAATAATTTTTCGATTTAATTTTCGTGATCATTATCGAAGGCACTACTAGGGACATGCTAGGACATGCTTGGCTCTCGCCTACTCAAAATTTGAAGAAACAATCAATGTATTTTGGTATCAAATTTAGAAAAGTGACAAGAGTAACCTCACCTCACACTGATCTTCTCAAAATAGTCCATAACTGGTTGATGACCGTCACCGGTTATTCCGGTTTTTTTTACTTTTCTTTTAAAAACATTAAACGAATAATTTCACATTTCACTAATCTTCTCAAAACAACCTATATATCATTTTTCCTTTTCCACTGGTAGTTTTCTTTTTACTTTTATCCCTAGACACACTTTTTTTCATTTTTCATCTTCTTATTTTAATTTCCTTTCCATATTTATATATTTTATTCCCACTTAAATAGGAGAGTTTTGTTTTCTAAATTTCCTCCCAGACAAATATTTTGTCCTTTTAATTTATTCTTATACATTCTTCACATATTTTAATTTCATTATCCTTTTATGTATTTCTCTTCTAATTCAGTCTCTTATTATAAAAGATCTTCCCCTTCTGATTTTTGCTAATTTTTCTATTTTTTTCAAGTTTTTTCGTTTGCTCTTCTTGTTACCTTAATTTCACCATCAATATATTTCCTCCCTTTTCTCATCATTGTATTTTTCTAAGTGAGTTCATCTATTAATTTCATGACATATGGGGAACACTATTTGATTGATAATTACCATTTTTGTTCGACCTATTCTCCATTCTAGAGATTAGCTAGTCTTGAATGATTTGCTTGCCTAAGAGGAAAAGGACATTTCCATGCTCTAAGAACACAAATTCTTCCCTTGAAAACAAAACAATGACGTTATAATTGATCGAATATTTGAAATTATAAGAGGTGGAACTAGTCAACAAATCAATTATATTTTTAATGTTATATACACGAGAACATTTGAGTAACAACGTTAATTCCAAATTAGTATTGTGTTTTTATCATAAATATAAGTTATTCACTAAATTTGACCAACTGATATTTAAATATAATACTCCTTATATATATACACCAATGAATATTGAATAGTACTCAAGAGACAAGAATGGGGGAAACTTGACAAACAAAACAAAATGCATATAACAAATTTCAGGATGAACCAGTATTCAAGCAAAGCTTTTATTCCAATTATTACTATAGGAGTACTTAAATCATCAAGAAATTATATTCTTGCACTGCCATTTAAGTAAAGTATCTCTCTTTCTCCCTAATGAACTTTAACGAATGACTCCTCTTTAAATCCGCGGCCGGGCAGTCCTATTCCAAACTAACTAACAAAACTGCCTGTTGATTATTAAAGAAAATACATCCAGCGAGCCAGCCATGCCAGCAGCTGATTCCACATTTACCAGAGAGAATATCATGAAGACACTCGGCGATGAAATCTTAAAGACGGTCCGTGGTGTCACGACCGCTTTTAACAAAGACAATCATAATGTCGTAGATGCCGATAGCCACGCAAGTGCTGTCATCACTCTAGCGGGAAACAACACGGGAGCCAGCATGAAAGGGGAGACGGAGGACAGAAAAGCCGCGGGGATTGAAGGCGAAAACGAGGAGGAGATGAGAACATTTCTTAATAGTAATTTTCAAGCGGTTAATAACTCCATCATGTTTGGGGGAAGTTATAGTTCTAATGATCCCGGTGTGCACTTGGAAGTTGTGGACTATACCACCGGGCATCGTCATCCCGAAAAGAAGAAGACGAAGACGAAGACGAAGAAGGGCGAGAATGAAGCCGAGGGGTCGCCTTCATTGGACGAAGAGAAGCATCATTAATCAGACAAATGCAGCTGTGCATCATATCAATGAGTATGTAGTTTTCAGAGTTCTTATGTTTTGATTGAATCTTCCAATTTGGGAATGCCATGTTTGTGTTATACTGTTATGCAATTACTGTTGAATCTTTCATTTATTTGTATGGGCGCATCTATGTACCATGTTCAACTACTACACTAATAAGTACTCTCTCTGTCCTGAAATAATTGTCCTGCTTTCCTTTTCGACCCGTCCCGAAATAATTGTCTTCTTTCCTTATTTGGTAAACAAATCTATACAAAACAGTGTCAAACAGTGCAAAACATTACCAAACAGTATCGCTACAGTGCCAAACAGTGTCGCTACAGTGCCAAACAGTGTCGCTACAGTGTGAAGTCAACTTCAATTTCTTAATCTGTGTGAAGGTCAAACCGGGACGATTATTCCGGGACGGAGGTAGTAATAAATATTGTCTTCTAAAACACACACACCTCATTGCATTGTAAAAGCTAGATAATTGAACACATTTTGAAATGTGCATGAGTAGTGCCATTTTTTCCTATTAACAGTCAATTTTTGTTATCAACCACTAACTTATTTGGTATGCCAAATAATAAGTTTAGGCAAATTGATTTATGTTTTACTCCGCTATTATGATATCATCTACTATCAAGTTAACCAATTCAATCAATTCTAGGCCACCTCAAGCCAAATTTATGTTGGAAAATGTGTTAATAAATTGCATTAAATGGTCATTTTGGGGCAATATTTTGAGTGAGGTCCACTTCCAATTTGAGTCCGTTCAAAGTGGTTTCGGATTGTCCTTGTTAAGGGCTACAATTCGGTATATGGTACACTAAAAAAGGATAACGGGTGAATGAGAAATTGATTGTCAAAGTTCACTTGTTATAATGGAAAAACTGAGAAAATGTTGAGTTTCTAGTGAGATTTATCCACACCGGAAAACTCAAGAGATTTTCACCCCCTTATAAAGGGAATCCTCTTTGAAGGAGTTAAGATTCCTACGGGGAAATGCTCTCTTCGCGCGGGTGACCTATGGACACGAATGTCGTCCGAAAATCTATCATTCAAAGATAAGATTTAATTTTTATTTCTTCCCATTAAGGTTTCAATTTTCTGAACTAGAAAACCTGAGTGTTTCTGGTGGCCTGCGAACAAAAGACCACTAAGCATTTCTGGTGGGTTGCGAACAGAAGACCACAGGGGTGTTCTTGTTGCTTCCGAACAAAAGACCACATGGGTGTTCTGGTGCCTTCCCAACAGAAGACCAGAGAGCAGCTCTGGTGGGGTGTTCTGGTCGCACACCTGAACCGTTACAGCAGTAAATGCACAACGTTCTTATCTTGTAATGCAACGTTAAATGGATAGTTCATGGACGATTCAATGCCCAACGGACTGGTCATTGATGTCCAACGTTCATGTCCATTAAAGTTGAGTTAACACACCACAAATCCGTGCATATATATATACCTGATAGGTGTTTTGGAACAACACATCTCACATCAGAGTTAGCACAAAGGTTTTGAGCTAAAAACACACCTCCAATACTCCGAAAAATTCCCGAGTGTTCTTCTTTGTTCCCGTTAGTTCGTTAGCCACCGTATCCTGAGAAACGGTCGTTACAACACTGCTAGCACCGTGGGAGGCGACGAATACGTTTTAAGGACATCGTGCGTAGCACGAGCTCTGACTAAATTCTGTGTAACACCGACCCCGAGCATATTTACTATTAGTAAAATATGTAATAAACCTTGAAAGATGATTTATGAATTTGCGTAATTGTAAATTTTTATTATTTCTTTTACGTGAATAGTAAATTGCATGTGGGGCCCACAGCGGGACGGGGACCGCCCGATAATTCCCGAACCACATATTATATTCATCTTGGTCTAGATAATATGTATATGGTGGTGGATATTTTATTTGGGCCATAAGAAAGGCATGGAGTTGACCGGTTGGTCAAACGGGGCCCAATTACCGGTATTGGTAATTTAGCGGATAACAGCCCGAAATGAGTTTCGGGGACTCCTAAATTAATGTTGGGGAATGTGCATCTATTCTAAAGTCCCATAACCTTTGGGAACGAGTCACATATTTTATTTGGCCCGATAAAATAAAATAGGATTAAAACAGTCCGAGAAATATAACTTTCGGGGCCGATTGTACACACCGGGACATAATGGGATGACCTCCCACATAAATGGGGGCCACCCCACGTTTTTAATTGCTCTAGTTGACTTAATGGGAGCTGGAGGGACACCAGAACATGGGAGGGGCGTGCATGAAGGAGGAAGCCTCCTTGACACAAAAACCCACACCCTCCAAACCCCACTCCCATCTCAATATTTGGGTGATTGAGGAGATCTTTCCCACCTCATTTTGCACCATCTGAATAAGCTAAGGGAGAGAGAGAGCTCAGGGAATAAGCCTTCAACAAGGTCCAATTCGAAGGGAGCAAGAGGAGAAGAAATCCAAGGAGAAAAGGAGAGTGTTTGAGGTAAGGACTCAACAAACAATTCTTTTAACTAGTTTTATGGTGTATGGTTTTTAAGAAATCATATGGTGGATTAAACATGATGTTCTACACGTTTAAGAGTGTAGAATATTGATATAAAGTGGTGATATTTAACTTAGAAGAGTTGGTGAATCGATAGGAGTCGAAATCGCCGGAAACCGCCACTTTAAGGGAGCTGCCCGTTTCTGCAGAACACGAAAGCCGCCCGGCTTTCGTGAAAGCCGCCCGGCTTTTGCCCAGCAGCTCAGTTTTACACCTTCAATCGGCCTAGAACGGGGATTGGTCGAGGGGCTTAGCAAAGGCAACTATTTCAGCACTCCATAAGGTGAGGATGGCTGACTATATTGCTTATAATTTGTGAGTTAATTTCATGAGATTACCGAAGGTAATTAAATGTGTTTTTTACGGATTATTAATGATTAATAATGCCTAAAAAAATGAAAAGACTAAATGTCTAGAGAAAAAGGAGCATGATATACAAATTTAAGAATAAATTGTGTATGTTCATGTGTTATGACTATGTTGACTTGAAAGTGGAATTTATTATGAAACATGTGTTGAAATGTACTTTTTCTTCATATTAGGATATATGAGTGATTAAAAGTGATATTTTGGATATTGAGATAAATGATATTTTCAAAGGAAAATCAGTTGGAATTGTCCATATGACTATGAGTTGAGAACTTGGGTTGTTGATATTAATTTGACTAGTATTAAGATACTACTTGGACATTAAAATGAAATGTTGTTAAGATTGATCCTAAGGTTGGATTGTGAAATGTTATGCCTTAAGTAGTCTTAAGAGATGCTTTAAGGTAGGAAAGTATGACTTTAAGTTATACTAGGGGTAGGCCTTAAGGGATACCCACGATAGGGTAAATATTAAATTGATCCTAAGTATAGGATTGGCCTACGGGTGTGATCGGTAATTTTTGTGGATAGCCGGTTGAATTATGGAAATAGTGAGGACCATGGCCCTTCCCGACTCTAGAGAGCGGGGTTGGATAGCATGGACTTACATCGTGATCACGGGTTAGGGTGGAATCCGAATCGGAGACCTAACTAGGTTCCGGTAGCGGTAACACATAAGATAGGACCCCGAAGGGCCTTACCTTCCTACGGGATGATGGGTACGAGTCCAGGGGCGGGATGTTGGAGTCCGAACCGGGAGCCTCATGAGGTTTCGGACAGCGGTAGCAAGTCCCGTAGAAATAATAGGACCCAAGGGTTGGGTTGTGCAAATGATAAATGAAAAAGGATTTATAAGAAGGGCTGTGTGCCGACAAATAAATAAACTTACTTATTATAAAGGTAATAAGTGGGAAATATAAATTATATTTATATTATGATATCACCCTATTTTGAGGGTCTTGGAAATTAAAACGTTGATTATACTTAGTATAGTTGCTATTGTACTTGTCAAATATTTCCAAGTACTGACCTCCCCTTCACGGGGGAGGCCACCTCACAGTTTCAGGTAGAACTTGAAGGTTGCTACCGGCGCCCGTTGCTTCGGAGATATTCAAAGGAGAAGACGTGGTTCGTGCTTCTTCTGTTTCCTGTTTTCAAAATAATTATAACAATGCTCATGGATATTATTTTTGAACAATTACTTTGGGGGCTTGTATGTCTAGTTATGCCAAGTGTGGCTTGAACAATTGTATTAATGCTTCCGTTGTTTTAAATGAATGTTTTACATTATGTTTGTTTATGGATGTACTATGTGTGAATGATATTCATGATGCCTTGTATAGTATGGATGTGTTGGACTACGGTTGACTATTCGTACTGTACGGCGGGTTGTTGACGTGTCCGGCTAGGTCCGGGGCGTGACAATTTAGTTGGTATCAGAGCCATAGTCCGTAAACATCATAATGAAGCTTCAAAATTCTTTTTGAAAGTGAAATTGAAAACCATGAGCATAAAGTTTTGTACTTATAGAACTTTTGGTACTTGAGTTGCAATGTCTCTAATTGTTAAGATGGTACCCTTAACAATTGGTATGGCGGTGATTTGAGCCAAGGGATGTCTTTAAGTGCCTATCCATCAATTGACATTTGATACGAGTCTAATGACTCATTCTAAATTTCTTTCAGAAATGGAACGTACCGGTAAAGTTACTCGACGGAACCCGACTGGCCAAGCACCGGGAGGATCCCAACGTGGCAGTCGGGGAGGATCGAGGGTGTCTAGGAGACAAGGTCGTGCAGGCCACTCGCCGACCGTGAGTGACGGTCATGTGGAAACTATAGACGAGCACTATGAGTCCGAGGAGGATTCAACTTACCGACCGGGAACTGAGCCGGTTGAGACCCCATATGATGGGGAATACGAAGATGCTAGTGACGAGAGCGATGATAATGAAGCTCTCGAACGGATTGAGGAATTACTCCGGCAATACCACCAAGATCGCCAAAGGCGCCGGGCAAGGCGTGCGTTGGAAGGGGCTTCAAGGAGAGGAAGCCGCGTGACTCCCCGGGAGATCATAGGATCCCGAGGAGGGGGAGGTGCTGAGGTCCCTATAATAAGGATCTCAAAGTACCTCAAGCAGTCAAGAGACTTGGGATGTAAACCGTTTGATGGAACGGGGGCCATCTCCGTGGCAGCTGAGTGGATCAAAAGATTCAACGAGGCGGCCCTCGACATGCAACTACCACCCCACATGAAGCTGAGAGTAGCCACGAGGCTACTAGAAGGCATGGCGTCCACGTGGTGGGATGGAACAAAAGGGAAGTACGGCGAGGCCGTCACTTGGGAGAATTTCAGACAGGAGTTCTTCAGCCAATACTACTCCGACTTCGAGGTGAACTTGAAGAGGAGGGAGTATACGAATTTGACCCAAGGAGGTGAATGTACGGTGAAGGAACTTGAGCACAAGTTCAGAAAGCTTGCTGAGTTCATACCGGAGTACATTTGTGATGAAAACCGGATGGTGAACCATTTCTGGGATGCCTTGGACCTTGACATACGCGAGAGGGCAACACAATTGCCTAATATGACGTTTAGTCAAGTGGTTGAACAAGGCTTAAAGGGGGGAAAAGAGTGGGAGGAAAGAAAACGAAAGAATGCCGAGGAGGCAAAGAAAAGAAAACGGGAGAACCATGGCCCTCAAAGTTCCAATAAGAAGGGGAACCACGGGGGAGGTGGATCGTTCAAAACCCCTGCACCACCGGTAAGAGGAAATCAAGGCCCGAGCGGGCAAGGCTCTGTGTCACAAGGCTCAGGCGTAAAGAAGTGCAGCAACTGCAAGAAGAACCACTTTGGCAAGTGCCGCGATCCCCCGAGATGCTATCAATGCGGGGAGGTCGGGCATTTGAAGGTGAGTTGCCCACAACTTGGGCGAGCCATGGGGGCCGGACCGAGTAGTGCAACGACGGTGAGCAGGAATCGAACCGGAGCACCAAATGCTAGCGGTGGGCACGGTGGGGCGAGTGCAAGCAACGCGCCATCCGTAAACCAAGGGAGGACCCAAGCTCGGGTCTATGCTATGACGGAGGCGGATGCTCGTGCCAACCCGGACTCCGTTGCGGGTAATTCCTTAAACCCACTTATTAGTCTATTGTAAAAAAATTGGAGTGTGGGACTTGTAAATTTATAACCCCGACGAGTTTGGTCGGGTTTGAAGGGAAAAAGGGGAGGAGAATCCTCGCCCTGGGCGGAAACTGCCCGGCTTTGACGAAAGCCGCCCGGCTTTCATCTTGATTTAATTGGGATAATACAACGGCAACGAATGCCGGCTGGCTTCCACCGAGAACCGCCCGGCTTTCGTCATGATTAAATCGAAAATTTTCTCGCAACCAAAAACCGGCCGACTTTTGGTGAAGACCGGCCGGCTTTCGTAAACACCTCACCTGGAAAATTTCTCGCAGCTGAAAGCCGCCCGGCTTTCGCGAAAGCCGCCTGGCTTTCGTTAAGCCTGGGGATTTCTGCGCTGCTGAAACCCGGCCGGGTTTCGTAGAAACCGGCCGACCTTCGAAACCATCCCACAAATAAAATTGCGGCGACGAAAACCGGCCGACTTTCGTGAAAGCCGCCCGGCTTTCGTGATTTTCATAGATGGATTTTTTCTCGCAGACGAAAACCGGCCGGCTTTCGTGAAAAGCGGCCGGCTTTCACCTGGATTTGTCCTAGAACGGTCCTAAAGGCTAGAAACCGGGAATTTTCGGACGGGGTCAAACGGACCCCACCCGAACCACAACCAACATACTCTGCGACTTAAGAAACAAGCCTATTAATTAGATAGTGTGTCTTACATTACTTATGAATGTAGGAACACTAAAGATAAACGGGAGAGACGCAAGGATCCTTAGCGATACCGGGGCGCAACGATCATTTGTGAGTGAGGCGTTCGCCAGCGGATTCAACGGACCACTTGTACCGATGACTCAAACCCTATTGGTGTCCACGCCTCTAGGGGATGATATCGAGAGAGATAGCCACTATCCATCGTGTGAGGTGGAGGTGGAGTGACATAACTTGACGTGTGACTTCGTACCGCTGAGCATGATCGAGTTTGATGCAATCCTCGGGATGGATTGGCTTGAGAAACATCATGCTAGGGTCGATTGCTACACAAAGATTCTTGAACTCGAAGGCGGTGAAGGGTTGACCTTACGCTTCGAGGGGGATAGAGGCAAATCAAACAGTTGTATCATATCCGCCGTGAGAGCGAGGAATATGATGAGAAAAGGATGCCACGCATATCTAGCTTATGTGGTGGACAAAACCAAAGAAGAGGTAGACATCAACGATGTGAGAGTTGTGTGCAAGTATCCGGATGTCTTCCCAAAAGATTTGCCGGGACTTCCACCCGATAGGGAGATTGAGTTCGTGATCGAGGTTGAACCGGGCACCAAACCAATCTCTATACCGCCATACAGAATGGCACCCGCTGAACTTAACGAGTTGAAAACCCAATTGCAAGAGCTATTGGACAACGGTTTCATAAGGCCGAGTCACTCTCCGTGGGGAGCACCGGTCCTTTTCGTGAAAAAGAAAGATGGAACACTTCGAATGTGCATTGACTATCGTCAACTGAACAAGGTCACAATCAAGAATAGGTATCCCTTGCCTAAGATTGATGACTTGTTTGATCAGCTCCGAGGAGCGACGGTGTTTTCGAAGATTGACTTGAGGTCGGGGTACCACCAACTGAAAATAAAGGAGGATGACATACCGAAGAGTGCATTCCGCACAAGGTATGGCCATTTCGAGTTCCTAGTTATGTCGTTCGGGCTGACCAACGCCCCGACGGCATTTATGGACTTGATGAACCGAGTATTTCATAAATACTTGGACCGATTTGTGATTGTGTTCATAGATGATATCTTGATTTACTCGAAGAGTGAAGAAGAGCATGTAGAGCACTTGATACTGGTTCTTGAGACACTACGGGAGAAGCAACTCTATGCCAAGTTTTCCAAATGTGAATTTTGGCTAAGGGAGATTGGCTTTCTTGGGCATGTGGTTTCAGGATCAGGGATTGCCGTAGATAACAAGAAGATTGAGGCCATTACTGAATGGGAGAGGCCAAAGAACGTCAAGGAAATTCGTAGCTTCCTTGGATTGGCAGGGTACTACCGAAAATTTGTGGAGAAGTTCTCAGTTTTGGCATCGCCATTGACAAAGCTCACTCGAAAGGGGGCCAAGTTTATATGGGATGACCGATGTGAGAAGGGATTCCTTGAACTGAAGAAGAGATTGACCGAGGCACCGGTACTCGCACTACCCAAACAGGGTGTGGGGTACGATGTCTACAGCGACGCAAGCATCCAAGGGCTTGGATGTGTCTTGATGCAGAATGGGAGGGTGATTGCCTATGCTTCACGACAATTGAAGAAGCATGAGGTAAATTATCCCACTCATGACTTAGAGCTGGGGGCGGTGGTGTTCGCATTGAAGATTTGGAGACATTATCTCTACGGGGAAACATGTCATATTTACACTGACCACAAGAGCCTGAAATACGTGTTTACTCAGAAAGAGTTAAACATGAGACAGAGACGGTGGATGAAGTTGATAAAAGACTACCACCTAGTTATCGAGTACCACCCCGGTAAAGCCAACGTGGTAGCGGATGCCTTGAGCCGGAAGAATTCATCTGGGGCATTAGTGACTAGCTTGAGGGCATTGAGAGCCCAATTGGAGGTATCTAGCGATGGTGCCTTATTAGCCAGATTCGAGGTGAGACCTACATTACTTGATGAAATCAAGAAGGGTCAACAAACCGACGAAGAAATTATGAAGATCCGTGAACGCATGCTAGCGGGACCGGTTGAGGATTTCAGGGAGAGAGACGATGGTCTCTTATTATTTCGTGACCGAGTGTGTGTACCGTTGGATGATGAGCTCCGAAAGTCCATCTTAGAGGAGGCTCATTCATCGGTGTATGCCATGCACCCGGGAGGCACGAAGATGTACCGTGATTTGAAGGAAAGTTACTGGTGGTCGGGTATGAAGAGGGAAATAGCCGAGTACATCAGTAGGTGTCTTACTTGTCAGCAAGTTAAGGCAGAACATCAGCATCCGGCTGGGTTACTACAACCACTTTCCATTCCTGAATGGAAGTGGGAGCACGTGACTATGGATTTCGTGGTGGGGCTGCCACGAACGGTTAAGAACTATGATGCCGTATGGGTTGTGGTCGATGGGCTCACAAAGAGTGCACACTTCCTACCTACCAACACTACCTATGCACTGGAGAGGTTAGCCAAGTTATATGTGGACGAGATCGTGAGGCTACATGGGGTTCCTATAACCATTGTATCCGATAGAGATCCGCGATTCACATCACGATTTTGGCCGAAATTCCAAGAATCTATGGGGATAAAGTTGAAATTCAGTACAACCTTTCATCCACAAACGGATGGACAATCTGAGCGGGTTATACAGATATTAGAGGATATGTTGAGAGCCTGTGCATTGGAGTTCCAAGGGAGTTGGGACAACCACTTGTCACTTGTGGAGTTTGCCTATAACAACAGTTATCAGGCGAGTATAGGCATGCCTCCATACGAGGCATTGTATGTGAGGAGATGTCGTACACCGTTGTGTTGGGATGAGGTTGGCATGGCCAAACTCGAGAGCACGGATTTGGTGGAGATCACCAAGTCTAAGGTGAAGATGATCCGTGAGAGACTTAAGGCGGCCCAGGATAGACAGAAAAGTTATGCCGATAAGCGCCGAAGAGCCTTGGAGTTTAAGGTGGGAGATGAAGTATTTTTGAAAGTTTCACCTTGGAAGGGAATCATCCGATTTCAGAGCCGAGGGAAACTTAACCCACGATACATAGGGCCATTCGTGGTTCTTGAGAGGATTGGGGCCGTGGCATACCGATTACAGTTGACTCCAGAATTGGAGAAGATACATAACGTATTCCACGTGTCCATGCTTAAGAAGTATATGCCGGATCCATCTCATGTATTAGAAATTGAATTATGCCGTGCAACCGGTGAAGATACTTGACAGGCAAGTCAAGAAATTGAGAAGCAAGAAAGTTCCGATGGTTAAAATCCTTTGGAAAAGTGATCGAGTTGAGGAGGAAACTTGGGAGACGGAAGCTTTGATGAAAGAGCAATACGCGTTTTTGTTTGAATGAGCATTGTGAATTTCGGGGACGAAATTCCCGTTAAGGGGGGGTGAACTTGTAACACCGACCCCGAGCATATTTACTATTAGTAAAATATGTAATAAACCTTGAAAGATGATTTATGAATTTGCGTAATTGTAAATTTTTATTATTTCTTTTACGTGAATAGTAAATTGCATGTGGGGCCCACAGCGGGACGGGGACCGCCCGATAATTCCCGAACCACATATTATATTCATCTTGGTCTAGATAATATGTATATGGTGGTGGATATTTTATTTGGGCCATAAGAAAGGCATGGAGTTGACCGGTTGGTCAAACGGGGCCCAATTACCGGTATTGGTAATTTAGCGGATAACAGCCCGAAATGAGTTTCGGGGACTCTTAAATTAATGTTGGGGAATGTGCATCTATTCTAAAGGCCCATAACCTTTGGGAACGAGTCACATATTTTATTTGGCCCGATAAAATAAAATAGGATTAAAACAGTCCGAGAAATACAACTTTCGGGGCCGATTGTACACACCGGGACATAATGGGATGACCTCCCACATAAGTGGGGGCCACCCACGTTTTTAATTTCTCTAGTTGACTTAATGGGAGCTGGAGGGACACCAGAACATGGGAGGGGCGTGCATGAAGGAGGAAGCCTCCTTGAGACAAAAACCCACACCCTCCAAACCCCACTCCCATCTCAATATTTGGGTGATTGAGGGGATCTTTCCCACCTCATTTTGCACCATCTGAATAAGCTAAGGGAGAGAGAGAGCTCAGGGAATAAGCCTTCAACATGGTCTAATTCGAAGGGAGCAAGAGGAGAAGAAATCCAAGGAGAAAAGGAGAGTGTTTGAGGTAAGGACTCAACAAACAATTCTTTTAACTAGTTTTATGGTGTATGGTTTTTAAGAAATCATATGGTGGATTAAACATGATGTTCTACACGTTTAAGAGTGTAGAATATTGATATAAAGTGGTGATATTTAACTTAGAAGAGTTGGTGAATCGATAGGAGTCGAAATCGCCGGAAACCGCCACTTTAAGGGAGCTGCCCGTTTCTGCAGAACACGAAAGCCGCCCGGCTTTCGTGAAAGCCGCCCGGCTTTTGCCCAGCAGCTCAGTTTTACATCTTCAATCGGCCTAGAACGGGGATTAATCAAGGGGCTTAGCAAAGGCAACTATTTCAGCACTCCATAAGGTGATGATGACTGACTATATTGCTTATAATTTGTGAGTTAAATTCATGAGATTACCGAAGGTAATTAAATGTGTTTTTTACGGATTATTAATGATTAATAATGCCTAAAAAAATGAAAAGACTAAATGTCTAGAGAAAAAGGAGCATGATATACAAATTTAAGAATAAATTGTGTATGTTCATGTGTTATGACTATGTTGACTTGAAAGTGGAATTTATTATGAAACATGTGTTGAAATGTACTTTTTCTTCATATTAGGATATATGAGTGATTAAAAGTGATATTTTGGATATTGAGATAACTGATATTTTCAAAGGAAAATCAGTTGGAATTGTCCATATGACTATGAGTTGAGAACTTGGGTTGTTGATATTAATTTGACTAGTATTAAGATACTACTTGGACATTAAAATGAAATGTTGTTAAGATTGATCCTAAGGTTGGATTGTGAAATGTTATGCCTTAAGTAGTCTTAAGAGATGCTTTAAGGTAGGAAAGTATGACTTTAAGTTATACTAAGGGTAGGCCTTAAGGGATACCCACGATAGGGTAAATATTAAATTGATCCTAAGTATAGGATTGGCCTACGGGTGTGATCGGTAATTCTTGTGGATAGCCGGTTGAATTATGGAAATAGTGAGGACCATGGCCCTTCCCGACTCTAGAGAGCGGGGTTGGATAGCATGGACTTACATCGTGATCACGGGTTAGGGTGGAATCCGAATCGGAGACCTAACTAGGTTCCGGTAGCGGTAACACATAAGATAGGACCCCGAAGGGCCTTACCTTCCTACGGGATGATGGGTACGAGTCCAGGGGCGGGATGTTGGAGTCCGAACCGGGAGCCTCATGAGGTCTCGGACAGCGGTAGCAAGTCCCGTAGAAATAATAGGACCCAAGGGTTGGGTTGTGCAAATGATAAATGAAAAAGGATTTATAAGAAGGGCCGTGTGCCGACAAATACATAAACTTACTTATTATAAAGGTAATAAGTGGGAAATATAAATTATATTTATATTATGATATCACCCTATTTTGAGGGTCTTGGAAATTAAAACGTTGATTATACTTAGTATAGTTGCTATTGTACTTGTCAAATATTTCCAAGTACTGACCTCCCCTTCACGGGGGAGGCCACCTCACAGTTTCAGGTAGAACTTGAAGGTTGCTACCGGCGCCCGTTGCTTCGGGGATATTCAAAGGAGAAGACGTGGTTCGTGCTTCTTCTGTTTCCTGTTTTCAAAATAATTATAACAATGCTCATGGATATTATTTTTGAACAATTACTTTGGGGGCTTGTATGCCTAGTTATGCCAAGTGTGGCTTGAACAATTGTATTAATGCTTCCGCTGTTTTAAATGAATGTTTTACATTATGTTTGTTTATGGATGTACTATGTGTGAATGATATTCATGACGCCTTGTATAGTATGGATGCGTTGGACTACGGTTGACTATTCGTACTGTACGGCGGGTTGTTGACGTGTCCGGCTAGGTCCAGGGCGTGACATTCTGCCTCATCTTATTTTCTGTTTTCTTTAGTCATTTTAATTAATTAATTTTTATTAATAATTTTCTTTGTTTTTCGAAACACACCCTACGATTTACATTTTGACGAAAAAAGAATCTATCCATTCTAATATGTTTTTTTTATCTCATGGTGTTAGAATTCTCACCAACTCAAGATAATCTAAGTTTTTTTGAAAAAGGGGCTTATATTAAATTTATAGCATCAAAATCCCAACATCATCAATAAACCAAGTCTTCTCTCTAGACTTTGTATAGCCAATATGTCCCCTCACTTCTGATTAAATACAGAATAGACCATCCAAATATGAACCATACTAATTGTTGAACATGCAAGATCTTCGAAACTATTATCGGCCACATTAGCCTGACTACTTCAACTCAATCGCACAACAAAAAGCACCCACCAGTTCCACTTATTAACCAAATAAAAAAGTAAGAGATGACAAGAAATAAAACTTGAATGAAAGATAGAGCACAAAAGTGCAGGTGACCAAGTCCCATCGTGAAACGTCAGCCTCCGACCCTTGGCTCTTTGGTCTCTCCAAGGAGTTGGTTCCGGAGGGGGGGAAGGTCGGCAATACTTCGTCTTCCCTTGTTCATCTCGTCATCCCTTCCCATCTTTGACCTCTTCTTGTCTCTTGCATCACCCTTCTTCATAAATGGAATAAAAAGTGCTCTTGTTTCTGCCAGCCAAGATTTGCATCTCACTAGTTGTATTGCCCTCCATCTCGCTGAAAAAGTTAAACAAAACTCAGACGCCTACGACTTTGGGCAGCTCCAAACCCTAGCTGATGACCAATCGCGGCTCTAGAATCCTAACGCACGAAGGCGTTCTCTTCCACTTTCTAGAGAGAGAACGAGAGTTCTCGACTCATATTTTTTTCTGCAAGGAAAAAACTTAACATGTCAACTTTCATATCGGTCAAAGTGGAATTTTAAAACCACTCGCATATTGAAAGTGACGTGTTTAATCTCATTTTAAAAATTGTTAATTATCGTTTAATTCCAAAATCATCATACTAATCTTTGAGCATCTTCAATGCTACAATGTGCACGGAGCACATGTGGCATGGGAGAGCCACATAAATATTAGCAAATAAATTATCTTTCTGCCTTATTTGAATGGTTTTATATAATTTTGGTAAGTTTTCCTCCACAATGTCATACATAGTATGACTGATGGAGTATATGGACCAGGGACCCCCGATCCACAAACTCCTACTACTCTAACACAGGCCCAACAGGCCCAACAAGCACAAGAGGCCCAAAGGGTAGCGGCTCAAGTGTCAAGAAGCCCACGGTGCACATACGGGTGCCCTCGGCCCCATGGCTGAAGGCTCCAAAATCTCACAGGACATCTGATTTTAGGCATACAAACCTACTGGGAGAAAACAGCGGAAATCAGGAGTCTTCGGCTGATACATGCCTTCGGCTACACAGAGCCCCCCAGCCACATGGGAGCCTTCGGCTACACAGAGCTCCCGGCCACAAGGTAGCCTTCGACTACAGCACAAACATCGAAGATTTCCCTTGGTGACAAGCAACAGCCGCATTAAATGCGGCGTCACGTCCACCCACCACATTTAATGCGATGCACATGCGTATGCCGGTGCCATCACGATTGAGGTGACCCCTCGACCGCTAGATTGTTGACACGTGTACTCCCATCGCATTTATTGCTGCTATAAATAGCAGTTCATTCCCCATTATAAAGCATAACGAGTTCACATATTTGAGTACACTCTATCTCTTACTTAGTGCTCTCACTTCTCTCTAGGTTATTCCCGCAATAACTTCTCGGATAAGCTACCCCCGGGTACACTATCCATCAATGACTTTGTGTCATATAAAAGATAATAAGTTAAATCAATTAATCAAAAAATGGATTATTTTTATTAATTGAAGTTTTATAAAACTTCAATTTTAAAAATATATATATATGCAACATTGGTGTCATATGAATGATAATAAGTTAAATAAATTAATAAGTTAAATCATAAGTTAAATCAATTAATTAAAAAATGGATTATTTTTATAAATTAAAAAAAAATCCATTTTTTATCAATTGATTTAACTTATTCATATGACACTAATGTTGCGTGTATAAAAAAAATTATATTGATGTTTCAATGGAATGAGGTTTTGAAATTCAATTTTTGTAATAGATCCAAATGCTAAAATTAAAACATCTTTTTAAAAATAATTGAAACATGGGAAAAAGTTCTTTTAACAATGAGATCTTAATTTTAGCACTTGAATCTATTTATAAAAAATTGAGTTTGTAGATTTTCTATTGTTGAAACTTCAAAAAATAAATTAAACCGTATATAAGGAATATTGGTGTCATTAGAAAGATAATAAAAAATTATGGATTTTGATATATTTTTTGTAAAAATTTAAGTCAAATAAAAAAGTTATTAATGAGATTTTATGTTAACCTTGCCCCTACCCCTTCTGCCCAATCTACCTCTCCCATTTTCAAAAGGTGGAATCTCCCAGCCCTCCCATCATTCCACTCGGAAATGCCATTCCCGAATCCCCGATCTTAGAAAATGTAAAGAAAATCTCGTTATTTTGCTCTCTACGTTATGTTTTGCAAGTATGCAAAAGAAACTCGGAATAGAGTAATACTCCCTCCGTCCCTTAAAACTTTGTCATCTTTCCTTTTTGGGACGTCCCAAAAAACTTTGTCATTTTCCCTTTTAATCAATTATTTTGTGGTTCCTGTTATTTTTCTCTCCTCTACACAAACCTCAACCACACAGTTTTTACTTTATTATTCTCCGTGCCGGTCAACTTTGGCAAAGTTTTAAGGGACGGAGGTAGTATACTTTAGGAAAATGGAAACTAATAATCCAATGTGTTAGCGGTTTTCTTACACTAGTCCAACCTTTTTGTTATTCAGGAATAATCCAACCTTTGCGCCTCATCTTCATTCGCTGGTCCCTGACCGATTGTTGACCTGCTATTTCATGTTATTTTCTTATCTTTGTAATATATTATACCATAAATCCCACCTTATGGTCACATAATGTTTTGAAAAGATAAAAAAGTAACTTGGAATAACAGGTCGTCAAAGATTGGATTATTCCTGAATAATGAAAAAGGTGAAACTATTGTAAAAAGACTCCTAAAAAGATTATTAGTTTTCATTTTCTGGCTTTAATACTCGGTATCATTTTTAAGCGTTCTGGAATTGAAGCTGTTACCTAGAATGAGGGAGACCATGGACGTCATTTACTCTTTCTCCGTTATCGTCGACCAGTCCGTCGTCGATCAGAAGCGGATTGTGAGTCCCCTACTCTTCCTCTATTTTTTCTTTTCAGTCCTCAAAAGTTCTTTTCTTCTGGTTCGAAGATTCACATTCTGGAGTCGCTTACACTTGTGAGTTATTGGATTTATGTATACTACTCTCTCCTTCCCGCAAAGAACTTCTCCGTTTGAACTGCACACGAAAATAAACTTTTTTACTGGGACCCCTAAAAAAGGAATGCCTGAAGTTCTTTGGGGGAAGGGGCGAGTATATAACTAATTACTCTTTTTAGCATCATCGTTTGGTAGAGACTTGCAATTACATACGGAGTACTAAACTAAGCTCATCTGTCCTTACATTTGTAGTTTAGTTAAATTTGGGACATGAAACACTAGGACTAGGAGGTGCAAGCAGAATGGTTATAATTACGCCAAACTACAAACTATGAGAGATTCAATGAGAGGCCAATTATGTCCATTGCTGGAGACATTTACAAAAATAGTTACAATGGGAGTAGAAAATAAAAATCAGTATAACTCTGCTATGTATGGTTGAGGTAGACAGGGAAACCCTCCATGAGCTGCAAGGGTCAAGTACGTAAGTTTGTTTAGGCGTGTGTTTCCATCCTAAAAGGTTAAAGTGATAAGAGTACAACTGAAATATTATTTATCGGTATGAAACCTTTGTTGATGCTATGATTAGTTGTAGATGTGTGATCTTGAGTTGTTTGAGTAGCTATTGATGTATGGTAATTAAAAGAAAGCTCAAATGAGAATCAGTAATGTTAAACATTAAAAGCGTTTGGTTGACCAAGACAACACTTAATGTTATTTTCTGTTTTTCACTTCATAGTAAAACCCATGTTACATATTCAGTGATGGTAGAAGTATTTTGAGAGGGTATTGTTGTAAAAAAAGATCATTTGAGGTTCCTTGAATGTGTGCAATACTCACTATATCGACATTTATTATGATCCAGATAATGTTATTGCCTATTTAGTAGGGCTTTGAGTATATACACTATGCTAGCTAACTAGATTCCGTATATACCAATTTACCGTTTTCTTATTTAGTTACAACTCACAAGCAATAAAATTTGAAAACAATAATACATTTTATCTATATAATCTATACATGACATAAGCTCATTGTATCTATGTGTAGAACATGTATTCTTATGCACATATATGTTTGTATGATGTTGGAATCAGCTGTTGGAGTTTTTTTTGGTATAAAAATTTATCAGGGTATGTTGCTGTTGTTTTTAAAGTATTCAGAAAAGCTGAAGTTGCGTCTTCATAAAATCAGAAAGGATCTTGGAACAAGCAAATGCCGTTTTAAATGTGTAAAGGGTTTTATATTCTTATGAGACATGGGCAAGCAGGAAGTATGGTCAATCAAGAAATCCAATCTTTTAATTTGAGTTATAAGAATGGGAATAATTTCTTTTCAAATTTTAACTTGTTTTTTATCAAGTAGGAACCACCAAATTTTCATTCATGTTTAACAAATGTAATAACCATATATAAATGCAGATGATCCCTGAGAACTTGGTTCGGAAGTTCAAGGATAAACTCTCTGATATTGTCAAACTCAAGCTTCCCAATGGTTGTGAATGGGAAGTGCACTTTGAACAGTCAAAGGACAAGGCCTGGTTTGATGATGGTTTGGACAGTTTCATACAGGACAACTCCATTGGCATCCACTTCTTCTTGCTCTTCAAATATGCAGAAAACTCGCATTTTAATGTCCATGTGTTTGACCTAACCACAACCGAGATTGATTATCCTAGCAAAACCAGCAGTTCTGGCAAAACACCGGACACCATGAGTGGCAATTGAGTTGGTGGTGAGAGTGTTAGTAGCGGGAGGGAATGCTCTTTCTCTCTTATGCGGCACAAACTGAGGTTGCAAAACTGAAGGAGAAGAGTGTGTGACATAGAGCTACCATGTCAATCTAGTGCCATCCATGATTGACATGGTATGATTTGTGCACATTCACTCCCTACTTTGGAGTGAGATATACTGGATTTGTTTGGTTTGATTATTTCATTCTAGGTGTTGGGATTATTATAATTGCTAGGGGATAGCTAAAGAGGAATCAAGGAGTAGCTGTTGTGTAATTGAAAGAATTAGTGCAGAGTCCAGACCAACTTCAAGTCCATTGTTAGGAATTAACTTGGGACTCAAATCATTTAGAAGCCAGTGGTGTTGGATTTCAAACAGTATTGAAACATTACAAGTACACTTTTTGTAAGAATCAAATCAGCTAAAAAGTGTTGGCGATAAGTCTTTAAGTCGTAAAACAAAGTTTTTATTTACTTTTGACACTTGACACCTAGACTTATGGGTGGACTCAGGCCGGGCCAGGTCCGGGTCGGGCCTAGGCCCGGGCGGGCCACCGGTTCAGAATAGTTGGGCCCGGGACCAGCCCGGGTAGCCACCGGGTCCGGGCCGGGCCGGGCCTCGGGCCACTTCCTATTTTTTTCCCCTAATTAATCCCCTAATACCCCCCCTCACCCCACCCCCTCACCACCCAAATGGCCCAAAACACCCAGCCCAACCCTGAAAAATAAAAAAATTGAAAAAACAAAAATAAAATAAAAGGCCTGGAACCGGGCCGGTTCATCATTTGGCGGATCGGAGCCCGCACCTAGACTAAAAAAATAAAAGTTTGTATATGATACTCCGTATTTATTTAGAAATTAAATAAGCAATATAAATCAGAAAGTCCATCTTTACAATAATTTCAGAAATTTATTTTGAGACAACTAAAAAAGTGTGAAATTTAAATTGGGATAGAGTAAGTTTTTGGGGTTTCTAAATTTTTCCCTCAACATAGAAAGATAATTTGTCACTATAATTGTCCATTATGGACTTTAGTAATAATAAATAGGAAATTGTTGTTTGTGTCAGAGACAAAAAAATGAAAAAATGTTGGTCAGTCACAATTCTCTTTACAAAACGAAAAAAATATTTATGTACGGTAGGTACTATAGTGAAAGGTAGTAAATAAGAGTGATTTCAACAGTTGCATCCTATTTTTACCTTGCCGGTGGTGTAGACCAACCGGTAGATATGTGGTATCACAATAGATAAATTTCGAGTTCGAATCACGACAACCGCAATGAGAGGCTACCATGTAATAAAAATGTATAGAGGTCCCTACAAGTACTTGGATCAGATTACGTGTTTGGTGAAAAAGTTGATTGATAATTCTGATTTACTGAAAAACATGTTCACCAAACAGACTCTTTATATGTTCCCAAATTATCATATCTTTCTCTATCTCCAAAAGATAATTGTATCTTCATATTTTGTTGGTTACGATTTAATTCTTTAGACTGATTTAAAAACACATAAAGGTTAGTGTAGATAAAGAATTCAATATACTACCTTCGTCCTGAAAAGTTTTGCCATATTGACTTTTCTTGGTCAATGATGGTAAACTTTGGACACTGATTTTAATTATTATATGTGTATATAAATTATAAATTTTATAATTTTATGGAACTATTTTGAATAAGAAATATTTTGATATAATTTTCATATTCGAAATATTTTCGTATTAAAAAATATCATTGGTAAAACTTATGGTAGTACTAAAATTGAGAATGTTTGAAATAAATAAACACTTCCCAAAGAGAAGTAAGTGGAATTAAATCCAATAATAAAATATTCCCTCTGTATCTATTTAATTGTCACACTTTCCTTTTTTGTTGTATCAAATTAATTGTCTCATTTCCTTTTTTGGAAAGAATCTCATTCAAAAAGCAGCTACAGTACCACTACAGTACTGCTACAGTACCGAAAACCTCTTACTTTTTATAAAGTATACAATAATAATTGTCTTAAACTCCGTGAAAAGCAAACGCATCATCTAATTAGATACGGAGGGAGTACTTAAAAGGGATAATACGATTTGAGATTGATGTTTTTACCTCGACCCAAATTTACTGGTCTGATCTGTTTAAGTTTGGTCTGAACTGATCTATTCCGATTTTGTAGATGTTTGATTTCTGTGTATTTTATAACTATGGAAGTCTAACTGATCTGGTCTGTTTAGGTCTGGTCTGCTTTAGTCTGGTCTGTTTAAGTCTGGTGTAGTATAGTTTAGGATCGAAAATAGTTCGTGTAAAAACATCATGAGTTATATCTATATACTCCCTTCCGTCCCAAAATAACTTCACACTTTCCTTTTTAAGTAAGTCCAAAATAAACTTGACATTTTTATTTTTGATAACTTATTAATATAAAGTTATTCTTATACATTTACTTTATTACTTAGTAATAATGATGCAATTTTATTCTTTTTAATCATTCAGCTTTGAAAGAACAATAATGTCAAACCAATACTCCGTATATCGATATAAAGTTTATATTCTTCACTTCTACAAGACTACATTACCGTCCGTTTCTCATTTCTATCATAAAACCTGCAACTCTCTTTCTCTCTCTTCAATTCCTCTGGAGAAAACTGAGCCACCGAAATAAATGGCGAAGCAGGAAAATGCATCGGGAAATCTCACGATGTTCCAAATCCTTATCATTACTGTGATGCTACTGTCGTCCACCGTTGCCACAGCGACGACCGGAGTTTACGAGATCGGTTACCTACCGATGGTGACGTCTTCGGCTTCATCGAAGATCTGCGAGGGATCGATTGGTGATTGCTTGGGTGGGGACGAGTTTGAGCTGGATTCTGAAAGCAGCAGGCGGCTGTTAGCGTACCGGCGGAGATACATTAGCTACGGTGCACTAAATCGTGACAAAGTCCCTTGTTCTCGACGGGGTCAGTCCTACTACAACTGCGGTCCCGGAGCTCCGGCCACTCCCTACAGACGTGGATGCAGTGCCATCACCCGTTGCCGTGGTTGAATCTCGATTTCCAGTTCCTGCCGTGTATGAATTTTTATATTTATCATAATTATATACCTTCTCGTGGTGAAATTGGTGCTTTTGGCTCTTTGGATTTGTGCTTTTCTGTCCGCGGGGATTATTGTTTGTAATTTTTTGTATAAATGGAGTTATTAATCGGATTACTACTCTATCTATTTGCCTGACTTTGATTATTACTGTATCATCTTTGTATAATTTCATTGCTAATCAATAATGTGTTCCCTACTGACTAACACTGTGATTGTAGCTAAGATCAATGCTATGAACTTGAATTTGCTGCTTCATTTCTTTCCAATTGCTGGTAATTGTGTTTTATTGTAGTATAATCTGTGTTTAAAATATAAAAAAAAATAGGGGAATTGGGTGATGAATTCTGGAAATATCTCATAATTATATGTGAGGTCAATGACAACAGATTCTAGCTGTCATTTGTCCTTTATTTAAATATGGCATGATAAAATGTTACCCCGTGCTTTTGAAATCTGCGGTTTGCGTGTGGACCATGGAGAATTGTTTACGCGACTTTAATAAAGCTGCCGGTCGTGATTTGAGTTAAAGTTAAAAAAGCTAAAGAATGAGCTGTAAAACGCTGGCTTTTCTAGTCCTTGAAATGGTAAAAAGTTGGTGAATTGGAAGAAAATTTAGGAGGAAAGGTACGCGTAGCTCACAAGGGAGTGCCACAAAGGTTAGGTCCCGGGTTCGAATCTCGACAACTGCGATGAAGGGTTACTATGCCAAAAATGAATAGTACTTCTGCAAGTATCGGGGACAGAGCTCCACTCTCTATCTGTCATATTGGGATTATATTCCAATTTACATCCTCCCAACGTACCGTCTGATCCAGGTTGGGGAAGGATAAGGTGTATCCTTTTTTAGGAAGAAAGTTTGAGAAATTAGGTAAAAAGGTGAAGTACATAAATAAAAGATGGAACAGTATGCTAATGATAAAAATAAAGCCTACTTTGAAGTTTCAACCAAAAGCTACTTCTTTTCTACTCCGTAGTAATTTCATTAAGAGCTCGGTTGATAATATTGTTTTTCCATTTATCATGCTTATTAGTCAATTTTTTCACATATGAGTCTTTTAGTAACTGAGATATTTTTCAGTTTTTTTATTTCTGTTTTCTGCTTTCCAATTGTCTGTTTTCATTTTGTAGTTGTTCTATCTTCAATTTTCTATTTTCATTTTTTAGTTTTCCTTTTTCAAATCACAAAACATTTTTAATCAAATTTTTCACCCAATTTTGTGACCGATTAGAAGACTGAAATTACGGTCCCTGTCTGAAACCGAACCAAGTGCAACCCATGTAGGGTACCAGGTCCCACGTATAGAAATCGTGACCGAAAACGTCCGATCTCAACAATTAGTTTGACAAAAAAGTTCGGACGAGGATTGTCGGGCCGTTGACGGGACTGGCTTGAGACCACTCGGTGGTTGATTAGACCGAACACAGATCGTCTGGTCATTGGCCAGATAGGATAAGGACGGTCGGGTCGTTGATCGAATAGAATGGCGCCCAACGGGTGGTTGATCGAATAGGACGGGGACCACCAGATCGTTGATCGAACCCGATGGGGACCGTCGAGTCATTGATCAGACAGGATCAGACTGGGATTGTCTGGTTGTCGCTCGGACCGAACAGGTAGGGCCTAGTTGTGGATCGGACCGGACAGGGAATGTCGGGTCATCGATCGGACCGGGCAGTGACCGCCTGGTTGTGGACCGGACCGAACAGTGACCGTTGGGTCATGGACCGAACCGGACAGGGACAGCGAGTCGTGGATCGGAACGGATAGGGATCGCCAGGTCTTGGATCGAACCTAAAAAGGAGTGTCGGGTCGTCGACCAGACTAGACCGGGACCATTTGGTCATCGACCAAATCCAGATTGCTCGGCCGTTGACTGACTCAGACAAGGAATGTTGGGTCAATGACCGGGCCGGATCGCCGAGTAGTTTACGGCCAGAAAGGGACCGTCGCGTCGTTGATCGGACCGGACTAGAACCGACACCGGAGCGGAACCAGATCCACCACTAGGCGTAAGTGTGCAAATTCGTTGCAGCGGCATTACAACATCTGTGTTTTCCAAATTTGGAAAACTAGTAAAAATCACTTCTCCAATTTATTAAGGAAAACAGAGACATCTAATTTTTTGGAGTTTTGGAGAACGATTTGGTAAATGCATTTTTTTGTTTTCTATTCTCCAGTTTTCCAGTAATTTTCTTTGGTAAACACATTTCCCACTTTTCCTTTTTCCAGTTTTTCCAGTTTTCTGAAACACTGAAAATATCTTAGTTAGTAAACAGGTTTGTAACTATTGATTTCGCGCGCTGAAATGTGTCGTAATAAGAAAAAGCAAGGTTGAAGTTGTTTTTTGGTTGTATCAGCTGAAGCTAATATAGATGACCATTTTAGCTATTTTACTTATAATTTTTTCGTTATTTTATCAACAAAATTTATTTTAAATTTAAATTTTTCATAAATCAACAGAATTAGTCAATACTGCCACTTCAACCAGAACTTCATAAGATTCACCAGAATCAGCTGATTTGGACAATTTCAGTGTTATCAAACAGGTTCTAAATTAATTTTGTTTGTGCTTCTTTTTACTCGTATATAAAAAATTGAATCAGAATCGGTTTTTGTCAACTTTCAAAAAATTGCTTGTAGGAGTATTTTGAAGCACTCTTACTTCTAGACTTTTACTCAAATACTCTAATATTTGCTTTAATTTTGTTCTCTCAAACAAATCCAAAAGCCCAAACATATCCAAACGCCCACTTTGTTATATACGGAGAACATTATTCTTTTCTTATTCTTTTTAATAAACTTCACTCTCCTCTTTTTCTTTTTTTAAAATAAACTTCACTCTCCTCTTGTTCATTGTCAAGCTAAAAAGGGCGGCTATTTACAGAAAAAATAGTTATAATAACCATTTATTGAGAAAAAATAGTGTTGTGCTATGATGCTATACTAAAATGCTAAAGGTACCCCAAAGTTGTACCTCATTTTTACCCCACCCCTAATTGTGTGGCCATAAATGGGGCAACTCATTTAAGTGGTGCCCCACTTAAATGAGTTGCTCCATTTATGACCATACATTAGGTGTGGGGTAAAAATGGGGTATAATTTTGGGACACCTTTAACATAGCTCGATGCTATATTGCTATCTGCTGAAACCATCCCATTTGACTACGGAGTAGTATTATGGAAAATTCTATTGGATCCGCACGAATAGCTCAATTAGTCGAGTGATGAGAGATTTGGATCAATGGATCAAGGTTCAAATCCCCACAGCGATCGGGTGGAGGTCACAAAAACTGAAATAAGGCTGGGTCTCTGATGCGCACGGGTGTATGAGTCTACTGACACTCTGCTGACTGAGTCACCATGACTAATCTCTCCATCATCATCCTGTCGGGTCGGGGTGGAGGCTCCTAAGTTGGAAGATTCCACCTTTTTTGGATCAATTGGAAAATTCCATTGGGAAAAAGAGGCTTGACTTACTCCTTATTTGAAGGGGATGCTCTCTCAAAGTATAATGCTATTTCAATTAAGGGTACTTAATTGAAGTTCAAGATATTTTTAACATACTACCTCCGTCCCGCTATGATTGTCCCATTTTATCTTATTCGTCCGTCCCACTAAGATTGTCTCATACTAAATTTGATAAAATTTGTGTGACTCTAAATCATTCTTACTTTATTCTTACTTTATCAATTCAATATCAACCACATGAACCACTTTTTATTAATTTGCGTGTCACTCTCTCTTGTCCCATTGTTAGCAGGATGGAGGGAGTATTAAATTTAACGTTTCTCATTTTCTCAATTGGCGTTAGTAATGAAACATCATTCATGATAGATCGTACTATGTTGGGTGTTTGTTTTGTGAATTTGCATACAAACACTTATTTTGGAATGAAGTTTTGGAATGAGTTTACTTGCATCTTAACAGCTTGTATGATGCACTGTAATGAGTAATAGTATGCATGATTATACGTTTGAAATTAGTAATTATGCATATATTGTTTATGACAGGGGGTTATTAATTAAGAGATTAGTAGTGATGAACATTGAAGTGTTGTATGAAGTAAAGTGTTGCACGAGACAGATGTTACAAACGCTACCACAAACGTTGTATGATGCAATTAAGTGTTGTATAAGGTGCATACTTTTATGTTTTATATACACTTAAAATGTTAAAATAATTGAGGTAATTGAAAATAATTCATTGTAAAAGCGATTTGTGTGTGCCATATAGTCAATTGGTATAGTGATATTCATGTAATTTTCGATTGTATGATTGTATTTTTAACTAGTTTTTATTAGTTCTAGTTGTGGAAATTACACACTTTTGGTGTAATACTTTATTTTCATATTTATTTGTAAATTTTTTAGATTAGGACTTTTCTGAGCTAAACAGGTCAAAGATCATCTAAAGAATCAAGATTGAACCTCAAAAGATCAAGGAAAGTGCAAGGAAGCAAGAAAGATTTCGATTTGGATAAAATACTCTTATACCCGATCGGGTATAAGCAATACCTGATCGGGTATTTGCTTGATTCGATTGTCCAAATCAAATTCGAGGACAAAGATTTCGTAAAAGATTTGTCACATACCCGATCGGGTATGCCAACATACCCGGTCGGGTATGCCCAGAAAAGTTTCTTTCTGGGAAATTTCCTAAGATACCCGATCGGGTATCCTATATACCCGGTCGGGTATCAGACCCTGCAGCTCCCAAAAGCCTATAAATACACCTCTTTCCTTCACAATAGAATCACCAATTCATCTACACTTCTAAGCTCAGTTTAGTTAAGTACTTTCTTTATATTTTTATCATGTTTAATCTCCAAATGAGGAGCTAAACTCTTCCATCTTGGTTTTGCTACTTTGAAGCTTAATGAATTTGTAAGTTGTAAGTTATTCTCTTTAATTTTCTTGCTTGAATATTAATTCTTTCTTCAAATACTATTTCTATATCAATGTTGGGGAGTGTTACTAAGATGACAATTAGTTAACATCTTGACATTAGTTATAGTAATAGTTATTTCTTCCTCTATGTTAATATTGGGGAGTGTTACTAATATGACAATTAGTTAACATCTTGATATTAACTATAGTAGGATTCATCTTCTTTAATATTCTTCCTTGAGTATTAATTAATTCCTATTCATATTTCATATTAATATTTTGAACAGTACTCAAAGGATCAACTAGTTTTGTTTCATATATTAATTATTACTAGAATCGATATACGAATACGCTTGTTAACCGTTCGATCGTTACACGGTAGTAAACTTGGGTTATTAATGCATGCGTTTCATGGTTAGTAAAC